ATAATGTGCTATGAGAATACTATTACGGATAAGAGAGAGTAGAGTAGGCTACTGTATTTATAAAGTGTAGGAAAAATGTATTCTCGAGTGTTTTTGGGTGAGATGGGTTGGGAGAATGAGATTGTCAGGGGATCTTTACCTTTTTTGTGGACAAGAATACGCTTGCCACTGGGTCAAAGGACTCCTTTTCTTCTGTGATTCTGCCCACTGAGTGTTTTTGGTCTCGGCGAGTTGTGTATCCTGCAGGCGCACCTTCACCGGCTAGATCAAACTTGAGCGGAATTATTTTTGCCCTTTCTCCATTGCGGCCAAAACAAATCCGGGAGCCCAACGAAAGAATTTTCCGCTTGACTCTCCCTAGCTTGCGAGATGCTCAACCTGTTGAGAGAGGTTTTAGGTCATAGTGCGGTAATACATCAGACAGAGGTAGTCGCCATTGGGTCCAACGTACATCTGCAGTTTTTTTAGGGGAACCAAAGTTGCCGGCTTCCACGGCCGCATATCCACCAATGAATCGTAGCCAAGGAGTAGGCTTCCTAATGGCGAAAAGACATACCACTTTGGCTCCGTAGCTGTAAAACCACCACTAGTTAATTGAAGTAAAATCTATGGAGATTTCCAAATAATGGCATTCATACAAATAATATACGCGCGAATCTCCCTACCTTGCAAAATCCTACGGTCGTTAACATAGTATTATAGCCATCGTGTAGTATTAACTAAGGCGGAGGCTGTTGCCGTCCGAGCCGATGGCAGTAAGCTGTTTTTAGGGGGGGGGGGGTCGTTGCCGGCTTCAAAGGCTATATAGCCAGGCAATCAGTCACAACCACAGGACATTCTTTTTACCAGCGCAAAACACATACCGTTCGAGTTAGCTGCCCGTACGTATCCAGGTATGACTAGTTCGGAAAGATCCTGAGGTAGGGTATTCCAGTTTGATCACCTTCTAGTTAGTTTGGAAGATGTATTTAGTTTTACTGGATCTAACCTTGAATATATCATGGATCTTAATCAAACATGAATGATGTGCAAGATTTTGCTCATTCTTTCTTCGTGCCATTTGCTCAAGGCGCGTTTAGGAGAGGGTGGATCTATGGCTAGTTCGAAATTCTGACTTACAAATATTGTATTCTCCACTAGGTTGTCCCGAGCTCGCGCAGTGTCCGGCTGGAAAAAACTCATCGAAGCATTCTTGAAGAAGCGTTGTAGTAGTGGTTAAGCAGGAGGGGATTGCGCTCTGGGCTGATGAGACATGTAAGTAGTCTTTTTTGCCGCCGAGAGTTTCCCCGTCTTCCGCCTGCTCGGTGTTCATCAAAGCAAATTGATTAAACGTGTTTTCTGAGAGCAAATTTACATACCATAGCCGTGCGCTCTCAAGCTCAACAGCTCTCCCCAGTTTTTCCTTTAGTTCTTTTTCTTCAACACAGGACTAAGAAGCAGGGTTATCGAATTTCGCACCCAGAATAGATGAGAGGTTTGTGGGCATAGGTTTTGAAGTGGTGAACAACTTTTTATTCCAAATCCAAGTGCTGAAAAAAAGACGATCAACGGTACAAATGATGTGAAATAGCATTGAGTCCATACAACAGCACATACAAATATGGTAGGATCTTTTCATGATTGTAACAAACTCATTTTGTATCTAGTGTTGAATCCTTTCAAGTCGTAGAGGTTTTCCATAAATCTTCTTTTGTAGTCAGCCTTGTCGAAAATGATAGATAATAAAAAGCTGGTCCAGCGCAGGAGCACCATCTCATCCTTTTAGAATTGAGGCCTCGTGACCTGAGTACATCCCAGTAAGATTCAGAAATTTAGCAGTCAGCCAAAGACACACGTCGTGACGCGGCAATGAAATACTGACAATGACTCATAGTCATATGCGCCCACCGGTTTGGCGCCAACACGGCCGGATTACACATGGGCAATCGTTCACATTTTCATTCTCTCCATTCATTCGCGTTTTCTTTCTCTACATGCTACCCTCTGTGCGCCGGCCCAATCAATACACCAAGCGCTCCTCGATCCATGTAAAAGATTTTGCTAACTCCCGCAAAAACGTAGGGGAGATTTTCAACTTTTCGGCTGGTTCACAATCCGGTCCCGCTTCGAGGCCCTTGGTGCAAAAACAAGACGGAGGCCCACAGCCCAAGGCTCCAAACATTGGCGAACGTTCCTTTGAGCACGTCAGCGCAGTCTGTCACTAATGTATGACTCGAATCAAAAGTCAAAAATACTGAGCTTCAAGGAACGCCGCCCAAGAGCAAAATCCAGTCAGCTGGTGATAGCCCCCCCCCCACGGTGTGAAGCATTGAATAAATTCTTACCAATATTGCATGTTCTGTTGTCTAGGCCCAACTTGAAAAAAAAAAGTTTTTATTTCAATTCTTTCAATCCAGACAACTCTTGATTCATTGATATGGATCCACCAGCCGACAACAACGCTGCGATTACAGATATTCAACATGCTGATTCAGCTTATCCCTCGCTGCCGCTTCTACATAGCTCAAATCGGATTGCAATCGTTCCCTCCAGCGAGTCGGTGTTCCTCATCTTCCGGGTTACAAAAACGCTCTTTGGCATTTGCAGCCCGCGGTTGAAGCATCTCGGTATTGGAAATTGTTACCTGTAAAATACAAAAACATTGAGGGTCACTAACAAGATTTTCAAGCTTCCTGGAATTTTTGTATGTCAAGCTGAGCAAGCAGAAGCTCACTCACGCTTAGGTATGTACCAAGATTCTTTCCCGAGTGACCTGCGCGTTTCATGAGATCAGCTGACCGGGGGTCTACAAAACCATCGAAATGTTTTTTGTCGTCCCAAATTAGTGATTGGCCCGGACGTGTCACGATACCATCGACGCTCAAACGATCATCATTGCGCATCTGACCAAAGGCCCATGGATAACCTTGGTGGACAATAGAGAACGCATACATATCAGAATTCATTAAATTTGCTTTTAACAATGGTCATAGGGCGGCACAATTGGCTGTGTGTGATGTCGAGCTCACTTCTTCTATCTCAGATGGATTGATAATTCGGCACAGCGCTCTCAGAAACATAGAAAACTGGACCTTCCTCGACGAAAAGCCTTGTGGACTCATTCACGGACCTTGGGAACGCCATAGACTCGTGCCAGCCTGAATGTTCTCCAATTTTGAGGTTGCCTTTAGTGAGGGGCATCCAATTCGCACGCAGAGGCATCGCAGGTGATTGCTTTTGGCTGACATTTTCTTGTTCTTTATCCAGTCCATGTGTTACGACGAGATGGACCTTGAGGCCGGATTTCACTTTCAGTAACCAAGTCCGCAGACGGTTTTCAGCGTATAAATCTGATGCTTATGTATTGAAACATTGTAGAAATTTTTAGACATACTGTTGGGTTGCGATACTGATTCGGAGCCTGACATGAATCCCAGAATTTCCTGGCAGACACAGAAATCCACCATGTAGACGGGTACGAACTGGTACGAGCCTAAGATTTGGATAACGAAATCAACGGTGGCCTACTACTCTACTCGCCAATTCGAGCCAAAGTGCGAATAACAGCAGAGGGCGTTCTCCCGGAGGCGGTTGGGTTCGAGTTTGTCCAAGCCAAGCTGATCAACTGGAAAAGAAACATATGATGGTCAGTTCTGAAGACAAAATTATAATTTAGAATCGCTCGATGAGACTTTCACCTATAGCTCTTTGGCCGAATGGTCATAGGCCGCTCACTTTGCCTCGTTGAATGGGAGAGATCAAGCTGAGCATCTAATAGCTCTCTGAACGCAACCGCTCGTGAGGCCACTTGAGGTTCTATTTCCACATCAACCCAGTGTATTACATTCAAATATGTGTGGCTGGTCTATTTCCGTTTCCGAGTATTTACCCCCCACGCGAGCACCTATGTACCCAAGCCAGCCCACGTTATATGGAAGTGGGAAGCTTTTTTACTACTTCATCATGTTCTGGAAACAGCTCAAGAGCGTCTGCATTGACGCGATCCTGTGTATCTTTGACTTCCTTTAGCCAATTCCTTGTGTTGGTTTTGCATTACATCCTCTTACATTTCTATTTCTATAGTATCCATCTTTGTAAAATCTCTTTTAATGCTTTCCTAAGCCAGCCCACCGGTTTGATTGCCGAGTCAATCGATTCCGCGGGTTTCGTTGCTCTTGTTCCTGTGATATCTCCGAAGTTTTGTTTGTGAAAGGTCTGTGAAACTACAATTGTACTCAGTCAACCCTGAATTAGAGCAAAAACTGATTGCCCTGCTGATTGCTTCACAAATCCGCCACGGATTCCTCAATAACGGCTAATTCAATGCGGGTTTTTTTATGATCCCAGCTACTCAAAATGAAATAACCCCAACGATTGCAATGTCTGAGTAAATATTTAAATGAATTCTGTTGAGGGATAGGTTAGAATTGCGGAATCACTTAATTGATAAACACTAGTAGCTGAATTCTCTCATCTGCTTCCTTCCTTGATTGCTCAAGTCAAGGTTTACTCCATAGCCCATGAGCTTCTTGATGTTATTTGACTCATTTGTTCTTTCTTGTAACCCTCTATAATATCCTCAAACTGGTATTCTGAAGGGAAGCAGTCCACTGGACCACAGTGGGGGCTTGTGGATACAAATCATGAATCAAATGACACTAGGCTCTGTAGAGCAACACAACCTGATCTGGTCCAATCAACATCAGTTTCAAATATCCAACACATATCAAGAATTTTTAGGTGTTGAACTTTCAGTCCGGGGATTCAGGTATTCATTCTCATCCCGCTGTGGTGCTGCGGACACATGGGGTGTGAGATGGACAAGGTTGGAAACCTAAAATTTTGTGTATTGGATGCTTAAATATTCACCCATGTTATCATGTTGTACATATTTCTCTTTTTCTCATCCGATTTTTCTAGCTTTCATTATCTGTGTCTCACTTGCCCTTCACTTCATTTCATCCGCTATTGCCACAGGTTTGCTTTTCTGCTCTCTTGCTGTTAGTCCACCAGGTTGTGCCCTAAAATTCAGGTTTGGAAACCTTCAGATTCCAGTTTCTTTAGGTTAAGAGCCCAGAGGTGCTTTAACTGTCATCCCACTTGAACCAAAGCCAAAATCCAACCAACTATCATGAATGGCAAGACTTTGAATTCCACTATTCCAACTCTGTCCAACCTCAATTGGGACCTTTGGAGTTGTAAAACCCCCTCCTCTGTTGGGTTTCACAAGAAGTATCACAGACAAGAATTCCTGTAGTTACATTCTCATTGGCTTGTGATCCGTACCTGGCTCCACAGAGAACTGATCCCATATCTCTCTGAGCCAGGTAAGTCTTTCTTTCTCACTTTTCTTTCATCATCTTTATTCTGATCTAAGTTGTATGTAGAGACAGAGAACTGATCCCATATCTCTCTGAGCCAGTGAAATAAAAGCTCCCCCTTTGTTTGGTCTTAGAAACTTCTGACTACGTGCCCTGTCTCTACGAGCTTTTCCATCAAGAATAGTGAAGGGAATCTCAACCCTTACACTTTTTTTTTCTCACACCAAACATCACCGACAACTCTCCAACAACGACTGTTCCAAACGACTGCCCGACTTCCTTAACCGAATTGACTGTACTGCTCCGCTTGAATCCGACTGTCCCTTTCCGTTCCGCCGTTCCGACTTACTGTTCCGGCTGATCTTACTGTTCCGATTGCTCTCACTTTTCCAATCAATCGTATCGTTCCGATTGGTATACCGAATCGCTGCTTGTTTATTCCGCGACTTCGCTACACACGGTTCCATTCTTCCCAATTCCTTACAACTTCAAACTTTCCTTTGCGCTCGGTGGAGTACATGATACGAGGATTACGCACCGCCGATAACTTACTTCCCCTATCAGACCCTGAAGCCATCCTCAAAGCCGGGAACGCCGAAAAACGGCGCATCAAACAAACTTCAACAGACTGATCGCCCCTCTTCCCCCTGTATCGACTACATCGATCGAGACCATGTCGGACGCAGTTCCTCCACCCGGCGGCCATGAACAACCGGCCGCCGATTCCACCCGTGATTCCACCCGCACCGCCGACGGATCCGACATGAGCACGGCCAAAGAGTGGTTCAAGGCCGTGCTCAAGATCCAACATGCAGCTATCTCCCAGGCTCAGGAAGACCGCCGCCAGGCCTTAGAAGACCGTCGAGCAGATCGGCAAATTTTTCTTGCCGCTCATCAAGCCAGCGCGGATCGCATTGGCCGATTGGAGGACCTCCTTCTTGCGATGAATATCAAGAACAAGGTCAGCGCACGAACTGAACACCCAGCGGCTGGTCGAGTTGACTTGCAGAAATTCCGTACCTCCGACGGCCCAACTTACCGCGGACCGTTTCAAGAAACAGAACCTTTCTTGCGCTGGATCCACGGTGTCCAGATTTTTTTTGAAACAAAGAGCGTCAGCAATGCGGCTGACAAGATCAAGATCCTCGGAAACCTAGTGGCGGAGACTAACCTGCAATCTTTCTATGCGAACGAAGCGTCGGGCTTCCTCAACAAATCCTGGGAAGAGTTCAAAACACGAATGTTCGATTTTGCCCTCCCTAATAATTGGCGCTCCGGACTCCAACGCCAAATCCGGAAATTAGATATGTCGTCGGCCGAAACATTCCTGGAATACAGCACACGGGCTCGAACCTTACAAAGTTTATTCAATTTTGACGCCGAGAAGTTCTCCAAGCTCGGAGACCTCCAGCTGGCGCAATTCGTTGTGTATGGTCTGCCCGATGCTCTGCAAGATAGGATCAACGAGCGCCAGCTCCTGGAGGCAGCCCCGTTTGCGTATGGACAATTCGAGAAACAGGCAAACGCGTCATTCCTTGCGTTGCATTGCCCCACGGAATCACCACCGGTGGTTTGGTCGACCCCCAATGCGCCTCCAACGCTAGGCCGGGACGAGTTCATATGGCGAGTCCATGCGTACTTGGACTCGCAAGGACGCTGCCATTTCTGCAAGAAGCACTGCGGCAACGCTGCAGGAGCCTGCCCTGGCCCAATCGACCGCTCACATATCAACATCCCCAGTAACTTTCAAACTCCAACCAAACCACTTGACTACGTGGCCCCCCGCGCATGGAGTAAACCAGCCGCCGGCCCCGGACAATCATCGCAACCTCCGGCCGGCCGACCCCCAGCTCGTGCAGCCAGTGTGGCAGGTGTTGCGGAAGTATCACCGCTTGAAGCTCATGTCGCCGGGCTGACTGTTGATGCGGCGATTAGAGAAGACGCACGCCTTGACCACAAATTCGATGATGAAGGCTGTTTCCCAGTCCTAGGTACTGCTGCCGTGGCTGCACTTGAAGACCTCGATACACAACTTTTACAAAATGAAATCGACCGGGCTACCCAAGCTTCTAGCGGTTGGACGGGTAACTTAGCGGATGACATTGCGGGATATTGATTGAGCCATGGAATTAAAGATTGCCTTGATCCTTGCCTCCTTTGTTCTTTTTTCTTCTTCTTTTCCTCTCTTCTCTTATTTCCTTTCTTTCTTCAATTTTTATATAGGAGGGGAGACTGTAAAACCCCCTCCTCTGTTGGGTTTCACAAGAAGTATCACAGACAAGAATTCCTGTAGTTACATTCTCATTGGCTTGTGATCCGTACCTGGCTCCACAGAGAACTGATCCCATATCTCTCTGAGCCAGGTAAGTCTTTCTTTCTCACTTTTCTTTCATCATCTTTATTCTGATCTAAGTTGTATGTAGAGACAGAGAACTGATCCCATATCTCTCTGAGCCAGTGAAATAAAAGCTCCCCCTTTGTTTGGTCTTAGAAACTTCTGACTACGTGCCCTGTCTATACGAGCTTTTCCATCAAGAATAGTGAAGGGAATCTCAACCCTTACAGGAGTATTCTGATCAAATGCTAAATGAAGCAGCACAACCTGTACTCTTTCCTTTTGAGCACAGAGACCAAACCTACTGATCCGACCAAACTCAAATCCTTCACAACTCAACAAATGAAGGCTTCTGGTGTTCTCCAACAATACATGGGAATCACCAAAAATGTAACAGATCCAATCCCTGGATCGGTATTTATTGGGGATTGGATCGAAATGTCACCCAATACTGTGTATCAGAATTGGATTGATCTCCGCTCCAATCCCGATTTATCGTCCGATCAGGATTGGCTGGAGCAATCCAATCTGAGCCGCGTGGGAACTTGGTATTGGTATTGCCCCAGCTGATCCAATCAAATCCCAATATTGTATCTGTATTGGGGGGTTTAATCCCCGTTTGGGTTGGTCTTCATTTCTGACCGACCCTCGGAGTGGACTTACCACTTAACCACACGCAAGTACTGTGTCAGCCACAGAGTACATGTCACAGTACCTTTCATGTACCAAGTAACTGCAACACCTGTACTTATGTACATAAGTACTTATCCATAATGTTGATTACCTTTACCTCTTGTTATCTTATTATTATCATCAACTTATCTTATCTTATTTATCTTACATTTATCTTATCTGTTAATTACTTATCTATTTAAATACATACCTGTGTTCTACATAAGTAATTATCACTTACCTTTCACTCCCTTGTCCGTGAAATACCTGTACCACAAGTTATCCCTCTGCTACAGTATTTTCACGGTCAAATATTATTACAAATAAATATGTACATGTATTAAATAGTAAGTATTAAGTGTCAATAGAATTAATACATTCAATACATGCACAGATCACAATTATGACTACATTATTAGAGGATCTGTTAAGTACACATCAAGAGCAACTAGTACATTGATCAACTAGTACACAATTATGATGTCACTTACAGATCATGACAAATAATGATCAGTCACTCAATTGATGTGCTCATTCTCCTGGCCAAAGCTCCCTTGATTCTGAGCGCTCATTCTTTCCCCCCTTCAGTATTCTGGAACTTATAATCCGTGCCTCTTTCACTGATTAATCCCCAGAATATTCAGACACCAGTTAAACCAGTTAACATTTATATTGATACAGTACCCGTAACCAACATAAATCTTGTCTACATTTATTGTTCTTAAGCTTCAGTACTCTTACTCAACTT